ATATACGAATTTTTATTCCTTTATAAGTCACGAAATGTGATATCGTTACATCATAATTTATTCATTTATTTGATTTAAAAATTATCTCTTACTTAAACTAGCTTTTTATATACAATGTACAATATATCAAAATATTTTAAATTAATCAATGTTAAAAATATAATGATAAAAATATTACAAATTCTCATCACGAATGACTTATTGAAATTGACAAATGTGAATATTTATTATAATCATATTCATTTCATTTTATTATTCGCATCATATGTTTGCATTGATTCACTTCAAAATATAAACATTTAAAAGTAATATATCTAGACAATCATGCTTATAAACGATATAAAATATAAAATTTAATTAAAAAAAAGTATGCATATTTATATTATTAGTAAAATATGTTATATGTATTCAATTTCATTGATTAAAAACTATGTTTCTCATTTGTAAATTAATTCAATACATTTCTGTTTGCAACTTATAATTGTCAGTTTATCTATACGTGGGTTAGGTTTGCATTATTTGCAAAAAAAAAGAAAAATAAAAAAAGAATTCATTCGATGTATTTTCAGAAGAAAAATAATGACCGAGTTGCCGCGCGAATGACAGTACTTAGTACGTAGTACTTACAATTAGTGACGTAGTCAAAGAAAACGCGGGCTTGACTATTCCAAGAAAATTCACGTTCGATCCTGATATACTTATACCTCTTGGATAAACGAGTAACCGACCAAAGAATCTAACAAAGCGCACGCGCGAAAATTTACTGGCTTGCATTTTCTATTGTAATTCTAAATTGAGGATTACTTCATCTTTAATTCATTGGAAAAATTATCTTTTATTTAATTTTCGACATAACAAAACGATAACCAGATATCAAAATAAACTTGCTTTTTTAGCTCCATATTTAGACATGATTTATATTAAATAATTATTAAATAATTATTAAATATTTTTAAAATAGAAAAATATTTGACATAACATATAATATTTTGTCATATTAAATAATAATGTCATATAAAATAATAAGTATAAATCATCTAAAAATATGTTTATATTTAAAAATCAATGAAATAATGTTCTATTTACGAATTTATTTTTAATTTTTTATAATTTTAGATTATATGCTTTAAAAAAATACATTACTTTTGCATGAAAAAAATTTTAAAAATTTAATATTTACATTCATAATTTATTTTTATTTCATAATTTGATTTTTTTTTATTTTTCTTATATTTCATATTAAAAGCCATTATGTATTGCAAATTTTTATCAATGATTTAAAAAATAATTAATATTATTATTTATAAATGTAATAGAACTTTTTCAATCAGATTTAAAACGAACGTAATCTTTATTTGATTAAATTATTTATATTTTATGTGATATAATTTTAAAAATACTATTTTTGTCACAATTAATTTAAATTTGTATATATTTATACACAGTCATATAATTTTTTAATAAAATTATAATTTTTAAAAATTCACAATGTCAGTTATTATTAAATAACGTTTTTTAACATATATTATATACTATATATATATCAATTCACATAAGGTACAAAATATACCGAGTTCCATTTCTAACTTTTTGTTGAGCCTGCGCTTTCTCTCTGAATATTTAGGATGAATATTTACCGATGGATCGATATGTTTTGAAATATATCACATAATTAAAATTATAATCTTATAATTATAATCTTTGTAATTTAATTTAATAAGAATATGTAATTTAATAAGAAAAATTGTTATTTATACATATTACAAATATAAATTATAGATTAAATAATAATTAGAAAGATGTTTGAAATAAGAATTATATATATATATTAATTATAAATTTTATATTTAATGAAATTTATCTAAATAATCATTTATCTAAAATTATAAAATTTATTATACTTGTATAAAAAAAATTCTAAAATATAACATACACAAACATTTTCTAACCTCTTTTCAAATATATGGACATAATACAAAAAACGATAAAAATTAATTTTTGTGGTTATAAAACATTTATTAAATTATTAAAACATAAGAAACAAAAGCATAAGAAAACACGCGAATATACTATAGTAAAACGCACTTGGCTTTTATCTTAGGTAAAAACGAACGATACAACGCGTGGGCGACGGACGATGGCTTCACATTGATGCAAGCTGTACAACGTCACTCTTCGATAGATGGCGAGCCCCCAAGAAATCTCTTTCTCACTCTCTCATTTTTTCACTCACTCTTTTACTCTCCTCTGTTTCAATTTCTAATATCACAAGACACAACATAAGTAATATTAAAAACAATAATATCTTTATTTAAATGAATGACTTTAAATAAATTTAAAATTTTATGATATTCCAATATTTTTGTAATTTGCAGTTTAAAATATAAGAAAGAAATAAGAAAGAATTGAAAATTTAAATCATTATAAAATATTTTCATATTAAAATAATAAATTAGTTACATATAAGAAATTTGAAGTTATTTCCTTTGGTATATTAATATCATAAAACAATTATTTGTATTTTAAATTATATTTCATCTATTTATTTCAAAACATCTTGTAATATATCACATATAAATAGTTCAAGATTGAATCCAAAGTTTTAGAATTTATATTTATTTATGAATTCTAATTGTAATTTAATTTACATTGTAATTTAATAAATATTATAAATTTAATAAATACTAATATATAATAAATAATAATCAAATTTAAAAATAATATAAATTTAATTAATAAATTTAATAAAATATATATATGTATTATAATCATAAATATATTGATCATAAAGATATTGTTTATAATAATAATATCTAGAAAAATTATATATATTTAAAAAGAAATAAAAAATATTAATTTAAAATTAATTTTAATTTTTATATTAAAATAATAATATTAAAAAGTATAAAATTAAATTTATGTCACAATAAATAATATTTCTAAGAAATTACTGAATAATTGAGTCAAATATATTGAAATACAACAATTCTAAATATATAGTATCAAAAAAATGTGACATGTAAAACGTATGTCAGTTTCTAATATATTAATATCAATGATTTTTGAAAAATTTTATATAGCTTATATAATAGTTTAAAAATTATATTACGCATATAAAAATTCATTTTATAATAAATAAATAATAATAATAAATTATATTTATAAATCAAATGAAAAAAAATTTTTTAAAAATATATAAATTACATTTATTATTATTATAAACATATTAAATGTATATTTTAAATAATTTGTATTTAAGATATAAAATGCATTTCGTTTACTATCGTAACATTCATGTGTGATTGCGTCAGATAATATATGTAATATACTGTGGAATTAAAGCAGTGACAGGTGACATGCCTTGTACACACCCACCAATTCGACCAATCACGTGCTAGATTATCGAATGTTCTCAAATCATATGAACTGCATATTTATAACTGCTTTTTAAATAAAACAATATTCATAATGAAATATTTGCATTTTAAAAAACCAATAAATAATAATTAATAAAAATTAAAAAACAAGATATGTTTAAATTATTTAATATTAAATATTATTAATATTTAATATTATTAATATTAAATATTTATATTATGATATGATAATGACAATATGATAACCACTGATTTTACGTCAATAAATAGTTCAAGATTGAAGTAAAAATCCAAAAAAAAGAAAATTCACCTGTTGACAACAGCATGTTATATCTTATGATATAAAAGAAATTGTTTCGAATAGTTAGGTTATCATAATATAAAGATAAGGACAAAAGTTGTATTTAAAGTATTTGCATGATATGTAGTTATAAATTTTCCATGAAATTTATTTATATTTATTTCAAATATGATACTGCATTCTTCATTGATATTCTAATTTTTTTACATATGTTTAATAAAAGAAATATTTTAAAATAAAAGAATTATATTGTAGCTTTTAAAAAATATCAATTTGTAATATTTAGATACACTATTAATAAAACAAAATATTATAATTATATTATTTATTACAATATTATAAAATATTATAGAATATTGTGATACTAATATACTATATTAATATAATAGTAATATAATAGTTAATTAATAATATAATAATGCTTACTTTACCAGCGATAAGTATCGTTTAATTATTCGATAGGTACTAAGGGCATATTAATTGAATGCTTAGAATTCTATTAACAGGGGTCAAATACGTATCTACGTGCAGTTGCTTAGAGCATGTCTTGCGTCATTCAAAGAAACCACAGATCATTTGATCAAGAAAGCATTACTAACAACTAACGATATTCACTACAGAGAATCGATCAATGATCTGTGCAAGGTTAAGAATTGTTATTTGGAAGAATTCCAATTATTTATATGTTATTAATTATTATTGATAAAAGAAGCAATAAAAATATATAAAAATATATATATATATATATATATTTATACATATATATACATATATACATACAATAATATATATATATTTCTTATTAAGAAATAATTATTTTATAAAGTGTTATTATTTAATATATAATACTAAATGATATTTAAATTTTAAAAATAAATGATCACTCATATTCCACTTTCTATATATGTATAGAAAAATATTGTATGTTTATATCTGCATATATACCTTGATCTTCAATTATTTATTTTAGACTTAATAGACTACTTCTATATAAATTTCAGTTAATATTCAAAATCAATTTATTTTTTTATATTTTTTATATACATATCTAAATAACTAATTATTATGTTAATATTTATATTAAATTGTTATATTACAATATTAATATTTAATAATAAATAATGATTTATTGTAATTTTTACGTATTTATTGCAATTTACAAATAATACATGAAATATTCAAAAGTAAATTTAATATAATAAAAATATGTTAATAATTTCAAGAAAAAATAAAAATATGTTAATATGTTTCATATATTAATATTTGAAAATATTTTAATAATTTGAAAGATTAATTAATAATTTGTGAAAAAATTTACTTACTTTTCCAGCAGAAACAGGTATAGTGGTTTCTCGAGTATAAATTGGAACATCCAAATCACTGACACTGCTACTGATACTAGGTGCTCTAGAATCTGGTCGACCACTAAGAGGGACAGAAAGATGCGTTGGCCTAAGTGGATGAGATTCTGCGATGAAACCCTCTCCAAAATCTTCATCATCTCGATCCATCTTCCCTTACAACACCAAAAGACATATGCCTTGAAATAATTAAATTGAAAAACGAACAAATTCTTTAATTTTTTTTAATATAGAATCAAAATACAATTTTCACAAAGAAAGAAAAAAAACTTTTTTGTGCTTTCTAAAATTTTTTGAAACATTTCTCTATTCTTAATGAATTAATTAAAATTGATTTTAAATAAAGCAATTATACTTAATTTATCAAAATATAAATACATTTATAAAATACATTTCTTTTTAAATAAAAATTATTATTAAAAATAAAAGAAAAATATAATACTATAATTTTATAATTAGAATGAAATACTAGAATTTTTTTATTAAATATTAAATATGAAATTAGATGCGTCATTAGAATAATGAAAATTGTCAATTGTGCGTCGTAAGTATTGTATGTAAAATTAGCGCGAGAATGTGACAACACTATGCTTTCCCTATCAATTATTTGGCGAAGAATCAAGGCTAGTAACTCGATGACACACTCCCCACTCCTATAGAAAATTTTATTCTACCATTCAAGAAAATTATTAGAAAACATTATAATTTTTATATTATTTATTTTACTAACTTTCACATATATCTTATTCAATTTCGATATTAGAATTCGAAATTATTTATTTAAAAATTATTTACAAATTATTGCATAGAATTTGATTTGAAACCAAATTAAAATAATATAATTATTAATTTGAAATTGTGAATTCTATTCTATTAATTCTTGAATAAAAAAATATAAAAAAAATTTGTCTTTACATCAAAAGATTAACTATGTTTTAATGAGTACGTCGACATTTTTCATAAATCATTCGACATGAATCAGCAAAAATTCTTGTGTGTATTATACAACTATTACATATAATATTTATACATTCGATCAATAAACTACCATTTAAAAATTTCACGTATAAAAAATAAAGTTATTTTCTATATAAAAGTTCTACATAAAATAAAATATATATTAATTTACCAATTATATATTATATATTAATTTGAGCTAATTGACCATGAAAAATCAGGACATGATCTATTGACGTCAACGAGGAATCTAAAAGCTGCCATAAGAAAAATATGACATTTTTTAATTACCTCGTGCTTAAGAGAAGTAGAATATAATAGAAGAAATAGAATAAAGAGAATAGTTCAGCAAAAATTCGTTGTTTTTCAATGAATGTATTTGCACTTTTTATGCCGCCAACTATAAATGAATGTATTGAACGTACTATCGATGAAATCGATGATAAAAGCACGAAAATACAAAGAAAAAAATATCGAAGATCAGAACATCCGTACAGCCAGGGTGTGCTCTTGAGACTGAGCTAGAGGACGCATCTCATCGTAACATCGCCGTCGTCGTCGCCGTCGGCAAGACGTAGCCGTCGGCCTCCGGCTGGATTTAATTTTAACGCATACGTCGTTAGACGAGCCTCTGACTTCCTCTAACAACGAATACAACTACGTTAATGCATTGCCTCTTCTTCCCCTTCGACTCTTCTTCTCTTCTGTGTTTCTGCATCAATTAATTCCTGCTATACTTCGCAATTGATTTCACTTGACCTGATAGTATATCCTGCCAGCAGACTCTCTATCGGACTTGTAATAATTCATAAATATTTTTCGAAGATATTTTTTTTTTTAAATTTTTATTTGTAGTCTTTAAAATCATTATATTTACGCTGATTTTTATTTGTTACAAATTTGATAAAAATATTTAATATCTAATGATTTGTTATTATTTTTTTATTCATTTATAATTATATAATTTTTTCCATTTATATATATATCATATTTTCAAATTAAAATATATATACAGATATATATATATACAGAAATATATAATTAATAACAACCTAATAACAAGATTCTATGATAAATCATTATTAATTTTCAATTAATTTTCAATTAATTTAAAATTTATTTAATAATGTTTTCTAATGACATTGATTATATAAAAATAACATTCAATTTTAAAATCAGTTGTATGTATTAAAGATAGTTTGTTCTATTTTACAGTGACTTATACAATGATATATTGATATTTATAATAACTTTAGTAATATTATCTATTTCTAATAAAGAAAAATATTGTATTTTAAATTTATTGCATTATATTATAAAAAATAAGTGAAATATGATTTAAATAATATAAAATAATATAAAATCTAATATAAAAAAATAATATAAAAAATTTGAAATATAATAAAATATATACTTACTTTAAATATTAATAATAAAATTGATTTATTATTAAAATATTGAAAAAATAATTATAATATCTTCATTTGATATTTTTTAATAATCTTCATTGAAATTTCATTTTAACTTGTTAAATTTAAAAACAATTTCTTCGCACTTTCGAACGTAATCATCTAAATATATGAATTTATTAATGCCATCTGGTGAATTGTCCATACATTACTTGTGAATGTTTTCTTATATATTTTATAAATTACGATATTATCAAAGTAAATTAATATTATAATTAAATTTAATAATATTATGATATCAAGAAAATTATTATAAAATTAGATATTAATAATTTACACTTTTATATATATTCATTTCTAAATTCGATGCAGTAACTTTTAATAAGAAAGAATGGTTATATTAACACGAGTTTTAGGTTGTACGGCAAAAGTATATATTTAATACTTCTTATTTATTTAATATTAATATAATATAATATATTAATAATATATTAATATTAATATAATAGTAAAATATATTATTTTATGGGTTAATTCTTTAGTTACACAATTACACAAGGAAATATAATCGACAAGGCTTAATTGACAGTTTGCGTCTTCATGTAACTGGAGGTACAGGTGGTTCAGGATTACCTTCTTATGGTGGGTTAGGTGGACCGGGAGGAAATGTTTATCTTATTCCAGAAAAAAAATTAACATTAAAAAATGTTAAATATAAATTAAACAATATGAAATTAAAAGCAGGAAAAGGAAGTGAAAGTTCCAAAAAAGGTCTTATTGGAATACCTGGAAAAGATTTAAATATAAGTGTACCAATTGGTATCACTGTTTATGATGAAAATCACATTAAACTTGGTAATATATAATATAATTACTTTTATTTTATTGAGAAGCATTAATTATTCAAGATTGCTTTATGAAATATAGGAGAAATAAATTCACAGGATACAAAATTAATGATAGCTAAAGGTGGAATAGGAGGCTGTGAACAAACAGGATATTGTGGACTCAAAGGTGAAAGTCGCACTATAATTCTTGATCTTCAGTTACTTGCTGATGTTGGTTTAATAGGTTTTCCAAATGCAGGAAAGAGTACATTTTTAAATGCAATTTCAAAAGCAAAACCAAAGATTGCTAATTATCCATGTAATTTTTAAAAATATATTATTATATACATATATATATATATATATATAGTTTTATTTCTTATATATGGTTTTTTTAGTCACAACAATAAAGCCACAAATAGGCATTGTAAAATATAAAGACTATAGACAGATTTCCATTGCGGATTTACCAGGTTTAATAGAAGATGCTCATATTAATAAAGGAATGGGTCATAAATTTTTAAAACATGTAGAAAGAACAAAATTACTGTTATTTATTGTAGATATTCAAGGATGTCAAGTTTCTATAAAGCACAAACATAGATCTTGCCTAGAAACCATTCTTTTATTGAATAAAGAAATTGAACTTTATAAACCTGATTTATTAGATAAACCTGCAATGATTATAATAAATAAAATGGATACAAAGGGAGCAGATGAAATCTATAATGAAATTAAACCAAAATTAAATAATCTATCAAAATTCCTTCCAGAATTTGATAAATCAATACAGCCAACAAAAACATTGCAATTTGATAATGTTTTAACAACTTCTTTGATTTTAAAAGATGTAAATGAAATACAGAAAATAAAAATAAAAATTAGACAAATTATTGATGAATATGAAGAAAATATTTCTCTTAGAAATTTTAATTTAAATGCAGATAATTTATATACAAAATTAAAACAACAAACAAAGAGATATGCGCCAATATTTGTGTAATTTATTTCAATAAACAAATAATTTAAAAAAGTAAAAACTTTATAGATTATATTATTAAGTATAACAATAAATATATTTCATATTATTTTTTTAAATAATTTAAAAAAGTTTTTCCTTTATTTTTATCCATTTACATTTTAAGTTTGCTTCTTCTACTTTTTTAATCCAATTTTCTCCAAGTATGGCTACTTTTTCTACTTTAATTTTTTCAATTTCATTTATATCCCTAATAACATCTATATCTTGTATCCATTTCTCTATTCCATTCCATGCTATCATTATTCCATTATCAGTGCATAATTTAGAAGGAGTTCTTACAAAAGTATAACCTAATTCTGTACTTACAATATTCAATGCTTTAGCTAGAAAATTATTACTTGCAACTCCTCCTGAAATAACCTATACAATAAAATAAAAAAAATAAACCAAAAATACCAAATTAAAAAAATAAACATACCAAATTGTAAAAAGTTATACTAATATTTTTAATTTTTAACATACCAATGTTCGTTTATTTTCAGGAAATAATGACATTTTATTAATAAATTCCATTGCTCTTTGAGTTCTATGACAAATGTGTGTTATTAAAGCTAATTGAAATGCTGCACAAAAATTATACACATTAGGAATTATCATATCTGCAACTATATTATATTTTTCCTCTTCTAATTTAATGTATTTATCACAAAAAGTTAATAATCCAGAAAAACTAAAATTACAATTTCGAAATTGCATCATTATAGATGGAAATAAAAACTGATTAACATTTGAAGCTTTACTTGCTGCAATTTCTATAGCTTGGCCTCCATTTAACATACTAAATTCTGGAATATTTTTTAATTTTAATCTTCGTGCAACCTATAAATATATATTTGATATAAAAAAAAGTAATATATAATTAAAAATAGAGATTATGTTTATAATAAAAGATTATATATATTTTACCTTATCAAAAATATCACCAGGTGCACTATTTACACTAGTACCAAGTAAATAAAATTTATTTACATTTTCAACAATTGCTAATAAACAGTGACCTCCAGAAACTAATAAAACAAGATATGGAAAATCAATCTATAATATAAAAATTAAATTATGTCAATCTTCTTGTTAATCTTCTTCTTTTTTTTAATAAAACATTTGTATTTTATACAATTTTTCTATAATTGTATTGTATTTCATACCTTTTTATTTATTCTTGCTGTTAAAGCATGAGCTTCCATATGATGTATTGGTATAAATGGTTTTTCTCCAATTTTTGCTAAATATTTTCCAAATTGTGTTCCAATATTAAGTGACATAGGAAGACCAGGTTTTACAGTTGTAGCTATTGCATCAATATCTTTTATTCTTAGATTTGCAGCTCTCAATGCATTTTCACAAGTTTTTGTGATATTATTTACATGCAATGATCTTGCAACTGTAGGAATTATTCCTCCAAAACTAAAATATATAAAAATTATTAAATTATATATAATTTTATTACACATTATTATATAAGAAACTATTAATAATAATTTTAAGTTACTTTAAATGAGTTAAATATTGAGAATTAATTGATTCGCCTAAAATATTTCCATTTCTATCAATAATTCCAAAAGCTGTATCATCACAACTAGATTCTATTCCTAAAATTATAGGTTTATTGTGCAATTTTTTTATTAACTTTAAATTATATTTACGTATGTGTAATAATATATCACTTTTTATAAAATGAAAAAATAAGCTTATATTGTAAATCATTTTTTTTTAAATTAAATCTAAATATTCTTATTTATTTATATTTATTAATTTATTATAATATAATATTCAATATACATATATACATATATATTAGATATTGATAGATCTATTTATATACTATAAATTGAAATATATTATAAATTTAATTTATATATTACATATATATTTATATTTATGTAAATTCAAAGATAAATATATAAATTAATATATCTATATTATATTAATTTAAAATATAATGTTCGATTAATATTAATAATTTAATTAATAACACATATTATCAATATTTTATTTAATATGGTTTATTTTATATTTATATATTATTTTATATTTCATTCAAAATTATTATAGTATGCAAAAATAACACGTGTTATGTTTGTTACGATATTACATTCAATTCCAGATTTCGATATAAGATTAACATATCGAAATTAAATCGATGTGACCTACGCAACGCTCACTACACTACATATTTCGTAGCCATCACAGATTGCTGACTTTCACTCAAGTACAAGAAAGTGAATATACAATGTCGGAACAGTAAGAATTTTTCTTTTTTTTAATATAAAGAACGAATATTTTAGTATAATTTTAGAATTTAATTTAATTTTTGAATATATATATAAATTTAATACTATTATTTTTCGGTCATATCAATTTTGGTTTGAGGTTAGAATTATCATTACTGTTAATACTGACGTACTTATACTGTATTTTCTTCATCATCCATCTTTTTCTTGAATTATTTATTTATTATTTTTACAATTAATAAAATTTATAAAATATAATATTTGTATTGGCAATGTATAAAGTGAAGTTTAATTTAATTTTGAAAATATCTATTTTTATTGTATATTATGGATTACTTTAATAAACATTACTTTGATTACTCTTTCGTGTATATCATTCTTTTTCATAAGTGTTGTAAATTTTCTATTAATACAAATTTATTGTCTTTATATATTGATTAAACATAATTTAAGAAATATTTATATTGTAAACAATAGATTTTAATATTATAAAGTAGTATAGTAATATAATTTATCTAAATTGATTTTGTTTATGATGTGAATAGATCAGAATAAATTAAAAAATTAAAATTAAAATAATTTTATTTGTAATAATTTAAAAATTGCTAATTTTATAGTATATATTAACATAATTTATGTAAATAATTTAAATTTGTATTATTAGTTTTATAATTTATTATAAAAAAATTGGTTAATAATATAATTGTAACTTTGATTATTTATAATTTTTTACAATTATTTGTTATTTTAGTGATGATACATTGTTGGATGAAGATCTCGGAGATGATGAATATGATCTAGGCAATGATGAAGAAGAGGCTCTTTTAGCAGATGACTATGAATTGGAGAGGGTGAGCATATTGCTGGACCATTATTTTGTTGTTAAATGAAAATTAGTTCATCATTATGTATCATCATATAATATAATATTCAAGTTTAATATCAAATATTTAAAAAATTTTAATTTCAGTTAAAAATATGAAATTTTTTGATTCATTTTTGTTATAATATAATATTTATGATCAAGATATTATCATTAATTAAAATGAATTTGAGAATTGTAAACTATAAATTATTGACTATTACTACTATGAATTTTCTAATCATTTTCCTAAACTTTATGAAAAGTAATTCATATATACGCGTGCGTGCGTACAATACATACATTATAAATAGATTAATTTGTTTTTGTAATAAATTATATACTTTCATATGTATTCTATAAATAATATATTTCAGCAAGCAAGAACTTAGTTCTTTCTTACTTATTTTGTGTATTATAATTAAGATAAAGAAATTTAAAATTGTAACTTAATGTTACATATTCTTGATTGTGTAATAGTATTGTTTTAGGCACAAAATATTATTTGCTAATGTATAGAATCACTTTGTATATGTCATGTTTATCAAAGCGATCTATTTAAATATTATTAATAACCAAAATCAATTACATATATTACTAAACAAAGATATATTTTGGTTAAAAAATTTGAAACTTTTAGAGATATTTTAATAAGTATTTTACAAAATTGTAAGCGTAAATATGATATGCTTATTATAAGAGATTGTATTCAAAGCTTAAAGTAAATGCGTGAAAATTATTAAACATTTTTGCATAAGCAAAAATTTTGTAATAAATAATACAGACATTGCATATTAATTGCTAGCTTATATAATTTTCTGTGAAATTTTTCAGTTTTATGATAATATGCAAAAAATTGTGAACAAAGGAAAAATTGTGAAAACTGTGAGGAAAAGAAAACATAACATGTTTAATAAAATATAAATTATACAGGGAAAATGAAAGATAATCTATTAATATTTATTCTTCATGTCCATTATATTACATGTATAATATAGTTTGTTGCAAACAATTTCTATTCTTTGTATTTTTTTTTTATATTTTATTTATTATTTAAAATTTAATAAGTAATTTTATTATATCTTTTAGACTGTTATGAAAAATTTTTATATATTAATATTTCCTAATTTGTTATGTTATTTATATTTATTATATTTCCTTTTCCCTGTTTGTTAAATAATTATTAGATACTGTAAGCAGCATTAATGTTAATAATAGTTGAAGCAGTAATATTATACAAATCTGTCAATATGCCAGTTATGTGTTTGTAGTTTTTCTATAAAATACTATTTGAAGTATTATTGAGTTTTGTAATATATAATGTATATATTTAAATATTGCTACAAATTACTACAAATATATATACTCAGACATATAGAGAATGTTTTAATGAAAATTTTTTTTATATAATAAAATAATTAAATTGTAATACATACATATTTTTATAAATTTCTTGAAATTATATTTAAAATTTTAATTTCATATGATGGTAATTAATTTTTTTATTTAAAAAAAAAATTATATATAAATTTCTTAAAAAATGAAATATAATTATATAATTATTGTTTTATAATATATATTAAAAATTAAAAACAAAATATTCTCTAAATATATTTTAATATTCAGAATTTCTTTTTCTCAATGAAGTTTGCATGATATGAATTCTTTCATTAAAACATTCATTTGTTATGTACAAAAAAAAATGTCAAATTTGATCGTCATGATAAATGATATTGTAAGAAGGTAATGTTATTCGTTTTTCTGAATAATCGTAACACTATCACATATTTCTTCTGATACTACATATTAATTTGTGTAGTATTTAAAATCATGTATTTATTTTCATTTTCATAAAAAAAAGCAGTAGCATGAAATATTTAAAAAATTTAAATTCAAATTTAAAAA